TGGATCACAGTGATTTTACAACAGGTAATAGATGTTCTTATACCTCCTTGAAAGAGTGACAAATCACTGTAAACCTCAACTGGCTTTTCACCTTTTATAAAAAGACTGTGTTCCAAACAAACAAAAAACCTTCCAAAAATAATACTGTTGCAGTTCCATATTGTGTCACTAGTTGTGCTGAAATTGCTGATTTTTTAAATGACTGAAAACATTACTTTATTATCAGAATAAACAATTATATAATATAACATAATATAATATATGATCATACAATTTGCTATATAGACATTAACAATAGAAAAATTGCACACAATTACAAAATAAAACATAAATTACACAAACACAAAAATAAGCTTGATCTACTATTAAAATTTTGCATTTATACAGGCACAACTACATTTTTATACTTTTAGTTGGAATAATACAGTGTGGAAATATAACATAATCAAATTACTTTATTGTTCTTCTCAAAGTCCTTAATATTTCACAAACTAACTAAACACGACCAGGTGAATGTTTGTTTCTGTTCAGAGACACTCTGGCTGTAGCAAATGAAATGATGACCCTTTTTCTACCTCTTTAACACTCACGCTCAAATAAACACACAGAGAAAGCTCTGTTTTCATGGCTGGAGAGGGCATGTAATGTGGCGTGTCATTGCATAGTGCTAGCACACTAAGCGCTTGGGCGGTGGGACTGTCTTATGTCTGATGCCTGGGGCTGTATGTGTGTGAGCCGATGGTCATTATGGCTTCTGCTGCTGACGAGGATTGGGCTGGATTTTTCAGTTTGGGGTTTAGTGTCAGCCGTGGCTCTTTGGTTTATGTGTGTGTCACACCCGGATTAACATCTGTCTCAGGTAATCTGATCACAAATGGACAATCCTAACTGTGTAAACAGGGGTCCAAACCGCTTTGTTATTGGATCACTCAAACCACATTTAGAGGTAGCTGAAAAATGCATGTGATCACATGGAATTTATAGTGTAAACACTAATGTGTAATGATGCATCCTGGACAACAACAAAAAAGGTAAAGTATGACCTGATGGAACTTCTTCAAAAGTTTAATGGCAACAAACTAATTTGCATAGAATGGATTGTTTCCAAACAGGTTTCCTGAATGTTTTCCACACAGGAAAACAGAAAGTGTCCCAATCTGAAATTGAGCTGTCCAGTACAGCAACATTGACTCAAACTCAGAAAAACAGAGCAATGTTTGCCACATAGTTAGAAGTCTTTACTTATGAACATTCCAAATTGTGATTAATATCAACAAAATACACACTTTTAGCAGATTTACTAAGTACATGTTTGCTAAAACAGTGTTTCAGGTTTGTGACTTGAAGTGCTCTGCTGTGTGTATGTGCTGCAGTATAGCATAATGTGTGCAGCATAAGGAGATGAGAGATATCTCTGCAGATGGAATCTGTAAATCTTAAAACATCTGCAAGTGCTGTCAGTTACACACGCACACACACACACACACACACACACACACACACA